ATGGGTTCAACCTAGCAGACTGAGGTGAGGGCGCCTACGACTGACTACTCTTAGTTGCCAACTTGGTGAGCTCCAGACTAAATTATCTGGAAGATGGACCTCTGGGTGTGACTGTGGGGGCTGTCTTAATCTGAGAGATCTGTGTACAGGGAAAGGGGACTGAGAAGCAGATTTCATCAGCCTCGCTTTCCAATTGTGGTTGCCATATGATCAGCTGCTTCAGGCTCCTGCTTGCCCACCACGACATATTTTATCCTTTGGGAATGGAACTGTGAGACAAAATAACGTATACTAGTCAGGGTTCTCTAGAGAAACAGACTGATATAATGAATATATAAATGTGTGTGTTTATTAAAGTTGCTCACAGGTTGCAGTCCTACTATTCCAACAATGGTTGTCTCCTGATGGGAAGTCCAAGAATCCAGTTCTTTGGTCCATGAAGCTGGATATCCCAGCTGTTCTTCAGCATAGGCCGAAGAAGTGGGTGCTAATGCCAGTGAAGGAATGAACTTGCCAGTAAGAGCAGGAGCAAACAGGAGAAAAGCAAGAGCTTCCTTCTTCCACGTCCCTTATGTGGACCGGCACCAGAAAGTTGGTTCAGACTTAAGGAGGGTCTTTCTACCTTAAATCCCACCTCAAATGATCCATTCAAGGAAAATCCCTCACAGGTGTACCCAGAACCTTGGGTTTTAGTTAATTCTAGATGGTCAAGTTGACAGCCAAGAACAGCCACCCCACCCTTCAAGCTTGTCTCTGTAAATGAATTATGTTTGTACTTAGCATGACTACAAACATAGCTCTGATCATGAGAGAATTTATCACTTATAAGGCAGCTGACCATTAGCTTTCATCTCAGTTATCTATAGTAACTCTCATGAAATTAGAATTTTATAATCTGTTACAATTTTTGACCTATAAGTGGATGGGCAGGGGATAGATAGGAGTTGAGTGGGGAGGAAACAGGAGAAGAGGAGGGAGGGATACTGTGGTTGGTATGTAAAATAAATGAAAAAATTTAATTACTAAAAAAATTTCATTTTTTTTTCAAGACAGGGTTTCTTTGTGTAGCCCCGGCTGTCCTGGAACTGACTGTTTACCAGGCTGGCCTCAAACTCACAAAAATCCACCTGCCTCTGCCTCCTAAGTGCTAAGATTCAAGGCGTGCACCACCACCACTGCCTGCCTAAAGTTACAATTTTTGAATTGACGTTCTTTTAGTATCAAGTAAATTTTGAACCTCATTTCCTAGTCCTCTTACGGTGTGTTTTATAAAATATTATAGCATTTTAAAATATATATTGAAGCGTAATCCTAATTAGTTTTAATCATAAAATCTCCCGGAGTCAGATATTGGGGTAAGAGCTGAAAGCTCAAAGAAGAAGCAACCATGATCACCTTTTACCTCTCCAACTCCTTAGACCGAAAAGGGCCAAGTGCCAGTCTCTGGCCTGCTTTATCACTTCCTGTCTGTCTGTACAGACCTTTAAACCTCTACGGTTAACTAGTGGCTAGCTCATCCTCTGATCTCCAGGCAAGTTTTATTTGTCCGAACACAAACAAATATCACAACATTTCCCACTTTTTGTCTAAAATAAAAAAGCAAAGGTTATAACTAATACAGAAAAACTATATACAATAAGTATAATAACTATATATCATATATACAGTCAAGAATTACATTAACAATGTCCAGTTCATTAATATTTGACAAGTTTATAGAAAATACTCCATGATCTATCCTAAGTGTTGGGGAGTCCAAAGTGTTTTACATAATTTATTTTTTATCCTTACAGTACCAATTCAAAACTATCTTTTGAGGTCTCTCAATCTTATACACTTTACATCTCTTTAATGAGTTTCTTTTCTGAATCTATTAACAAGAAAAACTATAACTATCTAGTCTTTAACTCCATCAGAGACCTGAGAAGGAAATAATATTACCTGTGTAAACAGGAAGTACAAACAAGTGACTTCCAAAAACTGTCAGAAATGACAAAGAGCTGACTGCCTGGGCAGTCACCCAGGGTTCCTCTGCAACACTGGGCCATCCATCTTTGGCCTACAGGCCTAGGCTGTCTGACAGACTTTCTGTGAAGCAGATGTTCTGAAAGGCTATCCTACCTTGTCTTGGCAAAGTTTGGTACTCACTTTCTTTTGCGTCCTGCTTGCCCAATTAGGACAGCATACTGCCAGAAGTTTAGGTGAGATACTTTCTTGCCCAGTACTTTAGCCATAGATAAAGTAAACTCCTGTGGAGTTTCTTCTTTGATGCGCATTATCTTCTCTGCAGTAGATTGGTGCAGGAGCAGACAAGCCTCATTGTCATTAAAATAAAAGAACCTTATATAACTATAACATCTTAAATGCCGTATTTTGTGTTTAAAGACCTCCTGCCTATCTAAAATATATCTCTGTTTGACCTTGAAAACATACTTTACGTAACTACAAGTTCAAATGTAATCAGTGACTAACACTAACTTGTCTTCCTATATTATCCTAAATAGTCTGTAATAATAACTTTTTTCAGCTTTCCTGGCTTTGTCTTTATTTGCTATTTTTTTTTCATTTTTAGGACAAAGTTTCATCTCATCGTAAAAAAATTCACTCTTATTCAAAAGATTTTAAGCCTTTTTTCCAAAAATACAATCTTATAATTTTATATTTGTTAACATTTTTCTTAAACCTATTTATTTTTTCTTTTTATTTTCTTAAACCAGAGTTGAATCCAAATTACACATATAGCATGTTGGAGCAAATTAAGATCACCTATACATAGACTTTTAATTATTAACCTTTTTGTTACAAGTTTTAGGTTAACTTTTTCCCTGGTTGGAAATTTTTTTCAGTTTATTTAAACCATCACCCATGGACACACAGATCCTGAGAGGAAGGAAGTTTATTTTTCAGCAAGAGTTCCAAAGATAACCATGGGCTTGAATGGGAGAACATTTTTGTTTAAAAAAAAAAAAAAGAATCAAGAAGAAGGGGAAGCCGGGCGGTGGTGGCGCGCACCTTTAATCCCAGCACTCGGGAGGCAGAGGCAGGCGGATCTCTGTGAGTTCGAGGCCAGCCAGGTCTACAAGAGCTAGTTCCAGGACAGGAACCAAAAAGCTACGGAGAAACCCTGTCTCAAAAAATCCAAAAAAAAAAAAAAAAAAAAAGAAGGGGAAAATTTATAAAGTTAGATATTTGTAATTATATTTAGTTGTTTTAATTTTTATATATAAAATTTTCTTGATTATTTTCCATTTGTTGTAAGAAAATTTGCCAAAGGGAAAGTGTTAGGCTTCAGCCAGTCCATATAACAGCATCACCACTGCTGCAGGGCTGAGCTCTCTCATAAGCCTAATCACATACAACAGCTAGGAGGATAGGAGGAAAGACTGGCTACTCAGGTGAAGAGCTGATGACCTTGTCAGCCTTGAAGCCCAGTTGTGATTTTTTTAATGTAATATATATTATGTAATATATAAGAAAAAATGTATGTATAGGTAAATGTAATATATATTTTATTATCTATATTTTAAAGTGTGTGTGTGTGTGTGTGTGTGTGTGTGTACATACAGCGTTCTGCCTGAAGGCTAGAAGATCTCATACAGACAGCCGTGAGCCACCATGTGGTTTCTGGGAATTGAACTCAGGACCTCTGGAAGAGCAGCCATAGCTCTTAACCTCTGAGCCATCTCTCCAGTCCCAAGTTGTGATTATTTTAATCAGGCACAGTTGAAATTATTGAGTGATTTTTTTTTAAGACCCAGGGTCTTTTTCATCCATAACCAGTTGGTGTGTGTCTGCAGATGGAGGCAGACAACCTGAAAAACACAACAAGTATTTTTTTCTCTTATGAGAACATTAAATTGCCAATAATAACCTACAGACCGTCAAACAGAAACCATAAAAACTCAAGCAAGACTATCTAGTCTTGTGGTTAGAATCAACTAACACAAGGTAAAAAGGAGTTCCAAGAGCAGCTTCAGGTCATACATCAGGGACTTTTCCCAGACAGAAAAACATGCCTTGCATAAAGAAACTTGCTGTGCATGCCGCCGCCATTCTGAAGCGGGGGTCCTGGACTCGTTGGCTGTCAATATTGCTGCAATGCCTGGCTCTTCGTTGGGGCAGAGAAATGGAGGGCGCACGGGGGGGGGGGGGGGGGGGGGGGAGGCAGGAAGATGGCTGTCCTGTTTCCATTTTGAAGTTCTGGATCCATGGTTCCCAGAGTCACTATTCCCCCTGTGTTATAAGCTGTCACAGTTGAGACATAATCTTTTTGTCTGTTTTGTTTTTCGAGACAGGGTTTCTCTGTGTAACAGTCCTGGCTGTCCTGGAACTAGCTCTATAGACCAGGGTGGCCTCGAACTCACAGAGATCCGCCTGCCTCTGCCTCCCAAGTGCTGGGATTAAAGGCGTGCGCCACCACCCGGCATAATCTTGACTTTATGACTCATTTCCCAAGGACTCGGGGAGGCTTTTGGGGGAAGGGAATAGAAGTTATTTAGTCCGTGCTCTGGGAGAAGTTGCAAAACCGAGTTGCAGGGATCAGACGTATTAGGATGTGTTGGGAATTATGTGGTGGGAGGAGTCTCAGATCCTTCTCCCTTCTGTCTTATGAATTTATCTAAATCAATTTAGATATTAAAATAGATTCTTTCAAACTGGGCCAGTGGTGGCCATTGTCCAATTGAGGCCAGATTTGGACTGGGAGCTGAACAAGTATGGCTAATCTCAGGTCTCCTAAATGGAGATTTTTTTAGATTAGCCCATATAGACACTAAGGATGTGTAATTTGGAACCCAGGGTCGGTGCGGAACCAGACATCTGGAGGCATTCCTCGGGTTTCTGATAGACCAAAGGTGCATGGAAGGTAGGAGGGGCGTCCCCAGACGAGGATACTTTTAAGGAGTCAGGTTCTCCCAGGCTGTGGAAAACTCTCATAACTTTCACCTAAGTAAGTCTTGCAGGCGCTGGGGAGAATTCCTGGGATTCTCGATTGAGCAAGCTTTGTGTGTGGGAAGCTCCCAGAAGCATCGACCCCGCAAGTCTCAAGATGATATAGATCGGTCCTTCCCTGAGCCTCTGTGGCCTAACGAGGGACCTGAAATCGGACTGAGAGGAGGACGCTTGCACTTTAGCCAGGAACTCAGTTTCCGTGGCAACCAGCTGGAAGCTTGGCCTCTGACAGCCCGGGCATCTCTATGGTTTCTGTGTCCTAGAAGGACCGAAGTGCACTTCCGGGAAGATGGCGACGCCCACGCCGGGCGTGACACGTGCTTCCACGGAGAGGATCGCGCACTGAAGGTAAGGGGTTTGCTTCCTCAGGGGCAGGAGCAAAGGCAGAGATCCGCCAGTAGTTCCACCCTGCGGACTGCTGCTGTGGAGAAAAAGACAGCGGCCAGCCTTTTAGGCTGCTGCAATCGGGTGGCTCTGGTCATCCCTGCAAACTGACTGGAGAGGGGACAGTGCCTCAGAGTGTGCTTGCAGCCTTCACAGATCTAGCTGCGTCTGCCTACGCCTGGCTATTCCTACTTGCGTTACTCAGTTCTGTCCAAAAACACTAAACGCGTTCTTGCTGTCAAGGGCTGGGAAATAAAAACGTCTCCGACTCCGGGGAGTATGATTTTGAATTACTGTGTCGAAGAATAGGATGTGGGAAGTCTTACAGAGAGAGAGCATAACAAACTAAGAACCCAAAAATAGCAGCTTCTGAAATTCCTCACTATCAGCCAATTTGGTTTCAGCGAGTAACTAAAGTTATCAGTGCCCGATTTCTTCTTCATAAATTACGGATAAAGAGTACCTTCTCCTACGATTGTTGGCAGGCATAGAGAATCCATGTGAAGCAGTTAAGAGCAGGCTGGTGTTGAGTCAGTGCACTACAAGTGTGGAGTATGATTGTTGTTGTTAAAATAATAAAATGATTTCTGAGAGGTTTTAAGGTGACCTCAGTATCTAAATTTTACTTGTGTTTCTATATCAAGAAGCAAGGTAGCAATTGGAAGAGAGAAACTGGCCGGTCTCTAACCCTGGCCAGCAGACCCTATCTAAAAACAAAACAAAAAAAAAAAAAACAAACAAGGGAGCGAAGGGGTAGGGCCACCTCACTCTTTCTGTCGCTGTGCTCAAGGTTCAGGTATCACTTGGGCTTTATATAACATCCTTTCTGGTGGAAAGGCGGATAGAAATGTGGTTTGTCCTAAATGTGCCTCCTCTTTATACGTGAGATGCCTGGTAGCCCCAGCCCCCCATTAAAAGGTTTTGTGAACTTTGCTGGCTTTTAGCTGTGCAGAAGTTGGAGAACGTTCCTAGCCACTGGAGTACATAGGGTATGTTCTCCCCACAGAGCAATGGTATCACTTGTATGGTACCTGGGAAATCACACGGTCTGTGCAGTCATAAGAAAGAGGATTTATGAGAAGAGTTTTACCTCGTGGGCCTCAACCCAAAGGGGTCTGGTTTTGAGAGCCGAACTTACTGTTTGTGTGAAGTAGGGTCTCACTATGTCCCCTTACTGGCCTGAAACTCAGTATGTAGATGGGTTGGCCTCTGTCTGAGATCTGCTGGTCTGTTTCCTGTGCACCACCACACAGGGCTGCCAGGACTGCTTTGCTTATTTTTTTTAAAGTTTATTTCTTATGTATACAAGTGTTTTGCCTGCTCGTATGTATGTACGTCTGATGCGTGCCTGCTGTCAATAGAAGGGTTTGGGGAGTTGTGAGCTGCCTTGTGCTTACTGGGAACCAAACCCTTTTCTCTTCAAGAGCAGCAAGTGCCCTAACCACTGAGCCATCTCTCCAGGCCCCAAAACTGTCATTCTATACATCATATAACTTCATTGTCTCTAACATTTGGTCCTTATCCTGTGCGTTAGTGTCACTGCTACGGAAAGAACTGCCACAGATTTAGTGGCTTAATTCAATAAATAAATAATAACTCTAAAAAGAATTTATATGTGTGGGTGTTTTGTCTGCTTGTATGTCTGTGCCACATGTGTGCCTGGTTCCCGGAGATCAGAAGATGTCAGATCCCCTGAAACTGAAGTTTGTGAGCTGCCATGTGGGTGCTGGGAATCAAACCCTGCTCCTCTGGAAGAGCACCCAGTTCTCCTAACACTGAGCCGTCTCTCTAACTCGGGGGCTGTTTGTTTGTTTACTTATTTATTTATTGAATGTGTGTATGGGCGTGCATGCATATGGAGGCCAGAGGTCAGCCTTAGGTGTAATGTCTCAGGAATTAACTGCCTGTTTTTTGAGACAGAGTTTCTAACTGTTTGGTTACACTAGGCTGGCCTAAAATAAAGCCCTGGAGAGTTTCCCCGTCTCCATCTCCCACACTGGTGCACACCTGTGCCTGGCTTTTCTTATGGTACTGTTGCTTTTTAAAGTCCTGTCTTACACTCCTGGCCACCTTTTACTCTTGGTATCTTATGTTGCTTTGGAGTTTTGTGTTCCTTGAGATTTGTGACTTGGGAAGTGGGTCATTGGTGGAATTTATTAAGTGGGCTGGAAAGGTGGTCAGGGGTTAAGAGTACTTACTGCTCTTCCAAAGGACCTGAGTTACTTTCCAGCACCACATGGTAGCTTGCAACCATTTATAATACAAGTTCCAGAGCATCTAGCAGCCTCTTCCAGTCTCTGAGGGCACTGTGTACACTTGGCACACATACATGCAGGCGAATACCCATACAACTGAATTCAAAGAGGTCTTGTTTCTAAAAGCATCTTTGTTTCTTCAGAAGTGTTTGCAATGTTCTGGAGGGCCTAGGCTGTTCTAGGGTTGAGGTGTTGTTTTCCTCTGCTAGACTGCTGTCACGACATCCATCTTGATCCCCATTGCTCCCCTGAAATTAGAATACTGTCTGCACAAAAAGTATCAAAGAGTAGGCCTGCTATGAAGTACAGCAATAGCCAAGTAAGTACCAATCATTTAAGGAAGTAATGGAACGTTGTGCACGGGGGGGGGGGGGGGAACTCGGGGGAAAACAGGTGATTTAGTCCTGGGTGGGCAGAGAAATTAAGGGAGGAAATATATCAAAGAAGGAATGGTAAGGCTGGGTAGGCCCTGCCTCTGGGATAAAGCTAACGGCTGACTGAATAACCAAGAATAGTTCCAGCTCCCAGGAGGGGGCCCTGGAGACCTGGTCGGTGTGTTCTTTGGGTATTAGAGGGGAATGTGCTGGAGGGAGGGTATGTAGGGAGAGTGTGAAAGCCATCTGGCCTTTGGTTGGCTCTTTAGGTTCCTTCCCAGACTCCCAGAAGTCAGCCTTCGGGAGCTAGTGTTACAGTCATGGTCTGAGCATTGTTTCACAGGTGGAGTCTCAGGTATGAGTTACACCTCCTTCAGGTTCCTGGTTGCAAGTGCTGGGCCTGCCTATGTTATTCTTGCATCCCTGGCACACTGCTCGACACGTGTGTTTAAGTTCCCTGCAAACTCTCGTCCCACTAGGTTTCCACACCAATGACTTCCCTGAAGTCTAGAGGCTCCTGTGTCACTGTGTTGCTGTTTCCCAAGAGTGCAGTTCACAGGAAGGACCCTTTTGAAATGGTGTTTACAGCTGTTCTATCTCTGCCCCCACTGAAGCACTCCCTTGTGGATTCTGTCTCACTCTGCCCTTTGAAGTGACTATTAAGGAATTACTATGGTACACTGCAGGTTTTCCAAGCCCCCCACCTCCCCGCATCTCCTACTGATGCAGAGCCCCTACTCGCTAGGAGCAGGGAGCGCCCAGATCACTCTCTGGATTTCTGTCTCCTGCTTTGTAAAGTTCTCAGTTTGCTGTTCCAGCTAGAAACATTCAGGTGTCCCTTACATCTTACATTTATTAAATACCCTTTTCCTGTTAATTCCTTGGGAGACTTGGACAGCCCATGCCTGGATGTCACCTGTCACCTTCTGCTCATCATTCTTAGACCAATATATAATGTTTAAGAGCATTTCTTAAAGTTTTTTGGACTCGGGGCTGGAGAGATGGCTCAGTGGTTAAGAGCATTGCCTGCTCTTCCAAAGGTTCTGAGTTCAATTCCCAGCAACCACATGGTGGCTCACAACCATCTGTAATGAGGTCTGGTGCCCTCTTCTGGCCTGCAGACATACACATAGACAGAATATTGTATACATAATAAATAAATATAAATAAATATTTTAAAAAAGTTTTTTGGACTCAATAAAGGGTATTTAGTAGACTTTAAATCTGATGAAAGTTTTGCCTTTTAGAGCTGTCTCTTTGAGACACTCCAGATTAACTCAAGTAGCCCCATTAGTCAGCTTTGACAGTTTTCTGCAGCCAGGGCGGTAGCACATAGTATTGATCCTAGTACTTGGCAGGCAAGGCCAGCCTGGTCTACAGAGAGTTTCAGGCTAATGGGGGTACATAGTCTCAAAACAGAAATCAGTTGTCTCCTATACCCATAACAGATGATCTTAGCACAAATTGACACTGGTAGTCTGTTCAGTGTTGTGTGCCTGCTTAACCGTTTTGGAGGCAAATTTAGTGTACAAGGTAGGTCCAAAAGGAGTATGTGTAACTGTAAAGAAATGCAGTTTCTCAGAATCATGCAATTTGGGCTGGTGTTCAAACTGCTTGAATGGGTCTTCAGGCAAGAAACCCAGGTCCTTTTTTCCTCACTTGTAGGATGAGGTTAACACCTATTGGACAGAACTATCTATGAAGTTGAAACATGAGGTGATTGTGTGTGACAGCCGTCTTTGTTTATTCAGTGTTGCTAGCATCCCCTTCCTAAGCGGAACAGTTTAAAAGGAGGCTTCTGAAACCTGAACCAGTAATTGCTATAGATGGTAGGCTCTCTTAAGGACCAGTCTCTAGCTCAAGATACCAAACACCTCATTGCTTTGTTTTTACAGGGTAATAATTTAGGGAGATCTTACAGACTCTGCAGACAGGCTTACTGGTTTAAATTCTCCATATGTTAGTTGTGTGACTTCTAGCGAGCTACTCATGATAGCTTACATTTTAATGTGTGCATGTATGTGTGTGCATGTGCGTGTGTGCATGTATGTGTGTGCATGTGCGTGTGTGCATGTATGTGTGTGCATGAGTGTGTGCATGTGCGCGTGTGCATGTTCGTGTGTACATGTATGTGTGTGCATGTGCGTGTGTGCATGCATGTATGTGCTGTGTGCATATGTGTGTGCATGTATGTGTGCGTGTGTGCATTGTATGTGTGCATGCATGTGTGTGCATGTGTGTGTGCATGTGCGTGTGTGCATGTATGTGTGTGCATGTGCATGTGTATGGAGGTCTGAAGACAGTCCGTGGACGTCAGTTCTCTCCTTCCACTAAGTAAGTCGCTAGGATCAAACTCAGGTCATGGGTTTGGCAGGAATAACCTTTACCCACTGAACCATCTCTCTGGCCATCACTTGCTATTGTCTAGGAGCCAAGGCCAGTGAATGGTACTGGGGATTGAACCCAGGCCTCACTCAGGCTAGACAAGCATTCTGCCTACTGACCACACGGTGCCCTTTTCTTTTTCACTCACTTAGGGTCTCAGATAACACAGGCTGGCTTCAACCTTTCTATATGGCTCTGGATGATACAAACTTCTGGTCCCCTTGCGTCTGTATTCCAAGTGCTAGGATTATACGTGTGCTGTAGGATGCTGTGGGTTGAAACCTGGGACTTTATGTGCATTAGACAGGTGCTCTGTTGTCCAGGCTGCGTCTCCAGGGCTTTCTTTCCCTATTCAAAGGATGGTACCACGTCTTCCTGGTGAGAATCTGAGGACAAAGACTCTGCCCACCATGAGTGTCACCCCAAAGGTCAAGAGTCGCGGGATGAAGTTTGCTGAAGAGCAGCTGCTAAAACATGGATGGACTGAAGGTGTTTTAGGGCCCCTTCCATATCCTCCCAACTCCCTTTCTTCTGCCCCATGTCGGTTCAACCAGAGGAGAAACTAGTTTAAAAATTTTAGAAGCATAAATTTTCTGACCTATTGGAAAAAGGAAGAATGGATGAAATTCTCATTCTTCAATAATGGGGGATAATGAGGTACAAATAGTTGGGCAGATTGGAGGAGGCAGTAGAAATACGACAGAAAAAGATCATCCTGGCTCAGATAGAGGCACTTGTGGCGCAGTGTTAGAAAGAACAGAGTGAGGAGATTCGGAAAGGTTCATAGTAACCCAGTGATTAGTGAAAGGCACGGCAGTTGGCCCAGGAGGACTTGCTGCGGGCTCAAGGCAAGCTGCAAAATAAACCACTCGCTGTCCTCTGCAGGCAAGGGCCTGGGCCGGAACGAGAATGGCATCACCCAGGCCCTCAAGGTGACGCTGAAGCAAGACACCCATGGGGTAAGCCTGGAAAATGACCAGCATGAGTGTGAGAGGGCACCCATGAGGGCTGGGGCGGTGCTCAGACTGTGACTTTCATTTATTATTTACCTGGAGGTGGGACATGACCCTGCCAAGGAGTTTACAAACCACTGGTGGAGTGATCTCTTCAACAAGACTGCAGCCAGCCTGGTAGTGGACACAGGGAAGGTATGATCTTGTCAGGTACACTGAAGAATGAATGTGTCTGGGGTGCCACAGGGAGGTACAGCATGCTGCTTTCTCAACCGATGCTTCCTGACAGGACGGAGTGCAGATCAGGCGTCTTTCCACGGAGACCACCCAGCGTAATCACCCCAAGCCCAATCTGCTGTACCAGAAGTTTGTGAAGGTACCAGAATGAGAGGTGCAGTTCTTTACTGGGTCCCTATCTCCCATGGGGCCTGATCCTTATCTTACATACGTGACCAAAAGGGTGAAACACAGAGTGCTGAGGAACCCGTAGACGGCTTCGAAAGGAAAAAACCTAACCCGGGCTTTCCAACTTCTTTACTGCAGCTGTAGAAAGCCAGCAGTTAGGAGCACAAACCTGTGCTCGGGGCTTCCTTCCCAAGCTTCTACATCTGTTGGCATCTAAACTCTTTGCCTCTGGTCTCAGTTTCCAGTACAGTTAGCTGACTTTCTACAAAACATCCGCAGGGTTCTTTCTGAAACCCAAATCGGATCATGATCCTTTTTGTTTTTCAAAATGATTCTCTGTGTAGCCCTGGCTATCCTGAAACTTACTCTGTAGACCAGGCTGGTCTCAAACTCAAGAGATACACTTGCCTCTGCCTCCCTAGTGCTGGGGTTAAAGGCATGCATCGCCACCATCTGGTTCCACCCTTTTTGACGAGATCGGCTTGAATGGCTGTGATTTATCCCTCTTGGCTCACTCCCACCTGTCTCTCTGGGACAGAAGCAGGTCTATTGCTTCTCCTTCAAGAAGCTATGTTCTCCCTCCTGCCCTTTCTCTGCCTGCTAACCGTTTCTTGACTTTCAGACTGAGATTATACATAAGCACCTTCTAGAAACTACTCAAACCCTGGCCTGAGCTATCTGTGGGAAGGGCAACATTTATCCCAACTGCTAATGTAATTACATCTGGACTAGATTCGTCTCATTCTTTTTTCTGTTTATTTTTTGTGCATGTATACATGTCCACACATGTATGGGTACGTGTGTGCAAGTGCTCATGCATGTATATGCATATAGAGGCCAGAGGCTGACACTGGGTATCTTCCTTGACTAAACTAGGGTCTCTCACTTGAATCCACCTCTTGCGTGCTGAGATTACAGGTGGGTAGCCATGCCTGACCAGCATTGTGTGGGTGCTGGAGATCCGCACTTAGGTCCTCACGCTTGCACATCAAGTGCTATTACCAGCTGAGCTGTCTCCCCGTCTGGACCCATTCACTGTCCTTCAACTCGGTCCTGAGCTACATGGCCCATAAAGGTTCTGTTCATCTACTAAACAAAACTACTGGGAATAGGAGTGCTGACTTTTTTGTCAGCTCCTGGCACCTACTCCACTATGAAAACTTAACTGGAAACACCTTTCCCTGCGTGTGCTACAGTCAGCCGTCTATGAGCCAGAGAAGCCCTGGCTGCTATGTCATGGTCTGGCCAGCCAAGACCTAATTGTTTCTCGAACCATAGGGGAGGCGTGGGAATAATTGAGGAACAACTCACATGGCTGTATCGGGAGGGAGTTTTCAGGGATCCCTCATGAAATCCTGGAAATTCACCCACGTTTATTCTCCAAACAGCTTTTATACCAAAACGTAAACTGAGGGGAAATTCATTAGCAGTCTGTTTCCTAGGTAGCGGGGAGAATGATTCAGGTCACTCCACACCTCTCTATGTCATTGTGTCACGTCTTCCTATCTCTGGCTGCTCTGTACGCCTGCTCTGTCACGCAGACTGTTAACACCTCCTTTCCCAGACCACCTCCTAAACTACAAAGAAGGAGCAGAGCGAGATTAGCATATCCTGACCTTTGTTTAGGATGGCCTCAGTTTGTCTGGAAAGGCCGGGTAACCACCTCCTGTGTGGCAGGTGCAAACTGTGGCCTGAAATTCTGACCGCCATACAGTGTAGAAATGTGGGCCTGTATAACATGTGCCTACAATCCACTCCTTCTTATTAATTTTAATAAAACCCGTGCTTCTGCCACAGGACAGATGATGGCATCTGCCTTTGGAAAACAGGCATCTTAATTATGTGAGCTCCTGTTTGAGGCATCTGGGGAGAAGCTTCAAACCCATCTCTGAACAAAAGAGATTAGGGGAGAGAGAGAACTTTTGGGTTCTGTGTCTTGGAGCCATACTTTCTTGTCAGGAGAAATCATAATGTTTTATGAATAATCATGCTCCTAAAGACTATAGTCTCCTATTTAAAGGAGAGGAGGATCACCTGAGTTGAAAATGGTTTTTCAGCTGGTTTAGAGCATCTCTGAATGTTTTACATTGTATCAAAATCTAAAATGTTGCCAGGCGGTGGTGGCGCACACCTTTAATCCCAGCACTCGGGAGGCAGAGGCTTAACAATAAATAATCCACAATTTAACATATCACAGCCTTTTTAAATCCATATTAATCAAAAGACAAGAAAAGTTTTTTTCTGATGGGTTTTTTTCTGGCCGCCATACAAAGTAAAACTATCAGCCCGTATAATACGGTCCTACACTGCTCCACTTCCCAATAACTGTGGCCCATCTCCTGCCCAAATTGAAATACACAGGCTGCACAGCTCTGCAAGGGCACAGTGGTGAGTTGTAGGGCTTCTTAAAGGGAGGAGAGTTGGTAACGGTGTCGTTGGCTTCATCCATCTCCATGGTCCTTTCCCTCCAGACAGCCACACTGACCTCAGGTGAGGAGAAGCCTGACAGAGCGAGCAGCAGTGATGACAGCCACAAGCCTCTGCCTCCAAAGATGTGAGACTGTATTTGGTATTGAGGGCATGTGGGAGGAGAGACCTTGGCATCTTAAGAGGATGAACAAGTAAGCCTAATACTTGACTGGGCTCTTCGAAGGGAGGTTGTCAAATTAATTAGACAGGATATTCTTTGTATTCTTAGTACTTCAAAAAAGTACCAGGTTTTGAATAAGAAATAGTGAAAATGTATATTTTTTAGACAGAAAAAAATCAAGCCTTTTCACCATCTGTTTGTGATTTGTCATCTGCCCCTACAGTCTGACTGATGAGATGCTACTCAAAGCCTGTAAGGGGCGAACAGCACACAAGTAAGTTGTGGTCGCCTTCTGGGTTTCCCATCTTTTCTGCCTATGCTTTACAATAGCCGGTGCCACCTCTCAATTATTTCCATTCCAGGGAAATAATTGCTGTTGTTGATGCATTTGTGTTTGAAGTTAGGCAGCTGCCCTCCCCTCTATTCCTAACTTCTTATGCTGACTTGGACCCATCTCTTAGGGCTGCCCGGATTGGGATCACAATGAAGGCCAAACTTGCTCGCCTGGAGGCCCAAGAGCAGGCCTTCCTGGCTCGGTTCAAAGGCTCAGAGGATGTGGGCACCTCTCAACCACAGACTGACAGGGAGCCCTCCCGAAAGAAGAAAAAAAAGAGGAAACAGAGAGAGGAGGAAGAGGCTGTAACACCTGAAAAGAACGTAGGTGAGGCACTTCTAGAATACACTGACCAGAGTGTTAAGAAAAGCAGGAAGAAGAAACGGAGGCAGAAAGAAGAGAAAGAGGGAATGGCTGTAGGAAGTGAGGAGGAAGAGGCTGAAGGAGAAAGTGGGCCTAGAGAGCTGAGCACAGTGCAGTCTGATCAGTCATCTAGGAAAAAGAAGAAAAAGAGGAGGCAGCACCATGAAGAAGAGGGGGAGATGGAAGTCTGTGATAAAGGAGGCAGAAATGTGACAGGCAGGCCAAAGGCAGGGGACAGTGGAGCAGGCATAGACCCATGGAGAAGCAGCAAGAAGCTGCAGCACTGTGGGGAGGACTTGGACACCCAAGATGAAGAAGGGAAGGATGGCCTAACAAAGAGAGAGAGAAAGGTCAGAAGAGGCAAGAAGAAAAGACAGAAGTGTCTTGAGGAGGTGGTCTTGGATGTAAGCGATAAAGATGATGATGGCAGGACTTGGGAAGTAGAGAATGAAGGTGAGAGAAGTCAGGCACATCCAAAGGAGAGAGCTGGCATCAACACTGACCAGAGAGCCAAGAAGAAGAAGAAGCCGAAGAGGGACTGGCGGTCTCCAGTGCAGCCCTGCTGATTCCTCTTCAGGGGTAGCCTGGGTTTGCCCCTCTGCAAGCAGCTAAGGAGCACTAGTCCGCTGAGGGGGAGACATTCCCTGAACAATGTCCTGTCCAAAAAGTACAGACCCTGGTGCCCAGCTAAAGGATGATGGAAGAAAAATTAGGATAGGAGTTTCTATTTGAAGAAGTGTCTCTGGTAAAAGTCTAAAAATGTAGACGTATGTGAAAAGACTGTTTTGTTTTTTTGAAACAGGATTTCTTTAATATAGCTCATGCTTTCCTAGCACTCAGAGATCCACCTGCCTCTACCTCGGCCTGTACCAATATACCCTGCAGAATGTCTTCATTTGTAAATACTGTGAAGATTAAGAAAAACATACATTTGGATGTATGAGCTGGGTTAGCCTTCCAGACTGCCTGTTTCTAATCATGATTAAATGAGGTCATTCCCAGTTAATATCATCATTTCCGGCATGTGACGTTCTGAAAACAAATTAGACAGCCCTTGGAGACTTTTGAAGAAGCTCTGTTACCTTCTTGGGGTCTCGCTACAATGCTAAGCTGAGTTTGTTTAGAGGTATCATCTACCTCCCTGCGTATCACAAACAAGAATCTTTCATTCCTGGGTATGGAGTTATTTTCCATTGCTTACAGACGCCTGGTCTGTTTTCGCAAACGAAGCGTAGCCTGCTGATAATTATTAATGCCAGAAGACTCCGGTTTGAAGAGAGATGGCACCAAGCCTTTATTAGAAACCTGCCCGCCCACCTCCCTTACTGTAGACGGTAGACACACTCTGTGTCAGGGTAGGATGGGAGGTTTAGCTGGTACTTCTTTTCTAGAGCAGGTGGTACAAAACGTCCCCCCAGGTAATGATACCGGCCAGTAAAATGGGCTGCAGACTTCTTGGGAGCTGTCAGTGAGATGAGTAAGTCTGGTTGGATTCCTCCAGGGTTTCCTTTCTCTACATCCCATCCTGAAGAGAGAAGGTGGTGAGGAAGTACTATCAGGTTTGGGTTTTCCCACAGGGTCAGCATGAACTCTGCTCCCCAGCCCTAATGTGGGGCATGGAAAGGTACATTCAGATTATTTTAGATCTGGTCTCTACTGTGGGTCAAGAATCCAGTCCTCTGGGTACCAGCCTGAAGACAGGTGGAACACCAGACCCCCACACCATCTGGGTCCCAGCACCTGAGGGAATGTCGATGCTAGCGATGGGCACAGTAAGTCCACTCAGGACACTCAAGATGCTGTGGAATGGCTCCCGAACATCACCCTTGAAGCTGAAACCAAAGATGGCGTCCACCACCAGTTCATACAGCTCATCAACCATCATGGGCTGTAGGGGAGCAGAAGAATGTCAGGAAGAATGTATTGTCATATAGGAAGGGCTGTCCCTGCACCCACAGACTACAGAGGTATGGAGATAATTGCTTCCTAAGGTGCAGACTGCAGCCATTCTGAATTCAGGCATATGTTCTATTCTGAGTGCCTGCCTGCCTGCTTCCTCTGGGAGGAAGGGGCTGACGGTGTAGGGAGCCTGAGCCTGGAAGCCAGAAGGGACCAATTCTGCCTTAGCTTTGCCTTGCTCTGATTCTGTGATTCTGGGCAAACCATTTCTCTGCATGTCAGTATCCCCATCTACATAGAGTAAGTTAATTCTTTAAGTTTCAGATTTCCCACCCCTAAATCCATGCGTCTACAGAAAAGGCGTAGGATGAGGCCCTGAGAGTCAGGTCTGTGATAACTGCACGCTGGGGGAAGACACTGACTGCAGAACAGGGGTGCCCGGAGCTGTTAGTGTTGGGAAGTGCTGGAGCACACACTATAGAGGGGCTCCTGCACAGCTGCTACTCGGAGAGCAACTTTTATGGCGGGCAGACATTAGGCAGGCCAGCTCGGTCTGAAAACATGAAGGGAAGGGCAGAGGCAGTACTTACTGGGGAGATGAGGTATAAGCCACCTACCTCTGGGGGCATCTCACTAAGGAAAGGAATGTCCATTTTCTGACACTGGGTCACTAGCCCAGTGAAGAGCGGCTTGTTAGGTCTTTTGGGGTAATAGATAGTTGGCTGGTAACCCTGGTTGGAAAGGAATGTAGCAATTCAATCTCTGATTCCAGACTGCTTATACCTTTTCACAAAGGCTAGCTCATATACTCACAAAAAGTTTGAGGTGTCGCGCGCAGACCAGGCCGTCCCCTCCATTATTCCCAGGACCACAGATGACCAAGACGGTAGGGTGACTCTTGGACATGGACGTGGGGGGATAAGCCTGAAGGCAGAGGCGCAAAGGGTCTGGCAGTCACGGCCCTCTGCTCCACCGCGGGAGGCCTCCCCACCCATGCCTCCCAAAGACTTTGCACCATGCCACCTACCTTGGCAATGGCCGTGGCACAGCTCAGCCCGGCCAGCTCCATGAGTTGATCCACGCTGAATTGGTATTTGTTAAATAGCTCCTCGTCCACGGCCCGCGCCTCCTCCTGGCTGAGGAAAGTCCTGGCCTGAGTCCGCCGTCGGGGCGCTGGGGGCGCGGCCTGTCCCGCCCCGCCCCCGTGGGAGAAGGTGGCCGTACCTCAGGTACTTCACCGCGGCGCTCGCCATGGTCTCCGAACCCCGGCGCGGCGTCCCCCACCAGGCAGGCCCTGCAAGGCACACACTCTGCTGACCTGCGACCCGGGGCAGGCGCGAGCCCGCTACCAGCAGCCCGACGCCCAGCAGCGCCCGCAGCCCGGACATTCGGCACGCTGCACTCCGCCCGGCCGGCGCATGCGCACGGCCTGCCCGGCCCCCAGCACCGTTTGCGTCTAGCCGTAGGTTCCGTGTCCCAGGCGTACCGCGCACCTTCGTTCCGCCTGGCATTCTCGCCTTTCCCCGTCGCTACAAGAGTTCAAGCCTAGGTACAGATAGGCTTTGTTTATTACCTAGCACTCTCCTCGAACTCTTCTGCCTGCAGCTTCCTTCGTGGGAGGTTGGCATTACACGCATGTACCATCGTGCCCAGCTCTTTTTTTTTTTATTAATTAAAAGTTATGGGGGCGGGAGTGAGGAGGCGCTATTGGCTGGAAATTTAGATTACTCGTCTAACTACAAGTCCAAGGTCTTATTCAGAACCTCACTAGCTTTATTTTCTGATTTCACTAGTCTGTGAGTGGCTTCACTTTTACATGTTACTCAAGACTCCTTACAGAATTGCTGGAGAAAATAAAATTTAGTCTTAAACTGTTTGTTTGTTTGTTTTTAGTTGGCTTCTGTGTAAAGTTTTTCCGGCCCAATAAGCCTCTCTACCGACACAATAATCCAAATCAGACCTAATCAAACTGAATTAGAAAAAACCTAGGTTTAATGGATGCCAGGTCCCGGGTGGCCCTCGGGATACCTGCAGCGTTACCCTAGGCTTGGAGAGGGTGATGGGAGTCACCACGTCTGGGCCGCGTCAATCCTCTGCAAGGTGAGTAGTTCGAAGGCTGGCACACTCTCCCTTGCCGATGTTGGTGAGGCTGGACCTCCATGGCGTGGCATAGAGGATGAGCCCACACGGGGGCATTGTGATTTCCAGTGTTCAGGTTGCTGGAAGATAGGGCATGGCCTCGTAGGTGGCAGAGGCCCAGGGCAATATCGTGCCAAATGGTCATTTAGGAGGATGGAAAAGTCAAGAGTTCCCTCTGGTGGCCACTGTGTCCCACTGTCAAGGTCATACTGAGGCCAACTCAGAGCATAGAGAAAGCCATTTGGGACAGACTGTACGGACGTCCCAATTCATAAAGATTTTGTAAAAGGCAGCCTGGGGCGATAGAGAATCCAACTTCGAATTGCAAGAGCCCATTTTAGAAGTCTATGCCAAATCTTGGGACTCAAGCCTGTCGCAATGCGTCCACTATGACAAGGTTCTTGAGTCAAAAGGTGGGAAGTTGAGGGGGTTCATGAGAGATGTGTGGCAAATGACTCTATCCACGTAGTCCACCTCAGCAAGAACCGCCTCGCTGCTTGCGCTGGCACCTGGCACAGAACAGCTGGAAAATCGACAAACATAAATGGTCCCTGGACCCTAGAAGCATGTACTCACAAAGGAGAACTCACCAAGACAAAGCTGATCTTAGCCTGGTGAAGAGCGCAACACGTGGGCCTGGGCCAGAGGGAAAACACCCACACACACACCATGGGACCTCCAAATGTTACGTATTTTCTAGCCCTACAAACCTCTGCCAAGGCAAATAATCTCAATAAGATCAAATCAGATCAAATTAAAATTACCCAGGTTTAAAGGGTGCCAGCACTCCCAGGTGGCCCCGGGGAAAACACCGGGAGGGGGATAGGAAAACCAAAATGACCACCTGAGAGGAAAAGCAGTAGAGACCACTGTTCATTCTCTGGGGGCAGTTTAAATAGCCTGTGGGAGTGGCTTGACCCTCCCTGGGGAGAGGTCACCATTTGGCTAGTTTTCTCGGAGGTGGAGTTTGGACTGAGGCAACTCCCAGAGGAGGGGACTTGGGGTGGAGTTCTTTGCCCAGTATTCCAAAAATGGATGCCAGGGGGCTGGGATGAAGCCCCCTACTCTTCGTATAAAGGTGCCAGGGAGCTGAGGTGATGTTTCTGACCAAACAGTCACCATTTGGCGGGCTTTCTTGGAGGTGGAGTCTGGACTGCGGCAACTCCCAGAGGAGGGGACTTGGAGTGGAATGTTCCACCCTAAATATGTTAGAATGGATGCCAGGGGGCTGGGTGACACTTGCAACCAAGTAGGCTGGTTTTGTTTTTGAGTGTTTCTGGTGTGGGCAGGTGCACATGAACTCAGGGACCCACAGGATCTCAGGCGGCCTAGGCTGCTCTTGAACTTTTGCTGCCAAAAATGTCTGATCCTCCTAACTTCACCTCCCACTTGCTGAGATACCAGGTCTGGGCCACAATGGCTGGCTCAAAGCTTGGTATTCTGAAGACCAAAACACAACCTGAAACTTGTTTCTTTGATGTAGATAGTATGTTGACACGTGCCAGGTGCTGACATGAACTACCTCAACTTCACAGCAAGTCTATTATTCCCATTTCAAAGGCAAGAAATACAACCTGGCCTTTGCTGGAGAGGTTGTGGAGAAAGGGGTACACTCATCCATTGCTGGTGGGAATGCAAACTTGTGCAACCACTTTGGAAAGCAGTGTGGCGGTTTCTCAGGAAATTCGGGATCAACCTACCCCTGGACCCAGCAATACCACTCTTGGGAATATACCCAAGAGATGCCCTATCATACAACAAAAGTATATGCTCAGCTATGTTCATAGCAGCATTGTTTGTAATAGCCAGAACCTGGAAACAACCTAGATGCCCTTCAATGGAAGAATGGATGAAGAAAGTATGGAATATATACATATTAGAGTACTACTCAGCAGTAAAAAACAATGACTTCTTGAATTTTGAGTACAAATGGATGGAAATAGGAAACACTATCCTGAGTGAGGTAAGCCAGACCCAAAAAGATGAACATGGGATGTACTCACTCATATTTGGTTTCTAGCCATAAATAAAGGACACTGAGCCTATAATTCGTGATCCTAGAGAAGCTAAATAAGAAGGTGAACCCAAAGAAAAACATATAGGCATCCTCCTGAATATTAACCTTCATCAGGCGATGAAAGAAGACAGAGACAGAGACCCATGTTGGAGCACCGGACTACAACCCCAAGGTCCAAATCAGGAGCAGAAGGAGAGAGAGCACGAGCAAGGAACTCAGGGCCATGAGGGGTGCACCCACACACTGAGACAATGGGGATATTCTTTCAGGAACTCACCAAGGCCAGCTGGACTGGGTCTGAAAAAGCATGGGATAAAACCGGACTCGCTGAACATAGCGGACAATGAGGAATACTGAGAACTCAAGAACAATGGCACTGGGTTTTGATCCTACTGCACGTACTGGCTTTGTGGGAGCCTAGGCTGTTTGGATGTTCACCTTACTAGACCTGGAAGGAGGTGGGAGGTCCTTGGACTCCCCACAGGGCAGGGAACCAGGTCTGCTCTTTGGGCTGATGAGAGAAGGGGAGTTGATTGGGGGAGGGAGAAGGATATGGGAGGCGGTGGTGGGGAAGAGACAAAAATCTTTAATAAATAAATAAATTAAAAAAAAAAACTAAAAAAAAAGACAGAAAAAAGAAAAGAAATATGACCTGCCCAGCGGCAGTGAAGGTGGGTGCTGGGATCTGAGCAGGCAGACCTACAGTCTAAATGGAAGACAGGCAGACCTACAGTCTAAATGGAAGACAGGCAGACCTACAGTCTGAATGGAAGACTTATCCTCTATCACCCAGTTGCAGAAACATGTAAATGAGGGCTTATCCCTTCTGATTTCATCCCGATGAGCTGTGACTATAGAATGAGACAAAGTTTCCCACCCACAGACATGAGACAGCCAATGAGGGCTGTTTCCATGAAGGCAGTCCCTGAGTCCAGTCCTTTCTGTTCCTGCCCTGGAGCCTTTGGGTTTTCCTTTTCAAATCCAAATCAAGACTCACATGGATTGAGTCCCTGCTGAGCCCCAGAGGTTTTGCATCTATAATCCTTTTTAATCCTGCCAAACTCACAGTGGAGTTTTAGTCTATCATAGATAAGCATATTCAATCAGGTAACACAATCATGGTTGGTTACCTGACCCAATAACGCACTCTTGTGTGGCAGACACTGTCATTTACCCCTTAAAACCCATTTTCCTCTCCTCCTTTGCTAGCAGATTTCCTGATTTTCATCTCTTTGTACAGCAAAACCCTACATTCTCTTGTTTCCCTCCAACTGGTAAGAATGGCCATAATTAAATCTTGACCACTTATGAACAGAAATGATGTCTATCCAACTTCCATAAAGTACTCCCAAAGGGGGAGGCTGTTATTTTGTTTGTTTTGGAGACAGAGTCTGACCATGAGCCCTGACTAATTCTGGAGTTCACTCTGTAGACCAGGCTGGCCTCAAATCAAAAGATCACAGAGATCTGCCTGTCTCTGCCTCCCATGTGCTGAGATTAAGAGTGTGCACCACTATGCCTGACTTCATAGTGTACTTTTTTTTAGATTTATTTTGATTTTATGTGTATTGGTGTCTCACCTGCACGTATGTCAGATCCGCTGGAACTGGAGTCACAGACAGTTGTGAGCTGCATGTGGGTGCTGGAAATTGAACCCTGGTCCTCTAGAAGAGTGGCCAGTGCTCTTAACTACGAGACATTTCTCCAGCCCCACTTCTTTTCTTATACTGGCTGGGATAAAGATATGAGGCTTGTCTTAGGGTTACTACTGCTATGATGAAACATGACCGAAAATTAAGTTGAGGAGGAAAGGGTTCATTTGGCTCATACCTCCACGCCACAGTCCATCCCCATCATCAAAGGAAGTCAGGTCAGGAACCCAAAGGGGCAGGAACCTGGAGACAGGAGCTGATGCAGAGGCCATGGAGGACTGCTGCTTACTGGCTTGCTCATCAGGACTTGTTCTTCCTGCTTTCCTATAGAACTCAGGACCACCAGCCCAGGGATGGCACCACCTACAACAGACTGGGCCCTCCCCCCATGAATTAAGAAAATGGCCTGCACCTGGACCTAGTGAAGGCATTTTCTCAGTTGAGGTTCCTTCCTTTCAAATAAGTCTAGTTTGTGTTAAGTTGACATAAATCTCTCCAACACAGTGCTATCATCGGTGGAGCAGCTGACAAAACCTCTCCAGCACGGGGCGAGAGGTGGAGCAGCTGACAGAACCTATCCAGCACAGTGCTGTCATGGGTGGGGCAGCTTCTTTGTTCTCTCCCTATGGCCTCGTGCATGTGCTTCATCACTGAGTTACTTCCCCAATCCCTGAAACAGTGATGAGGCAGAAACCCCATGCTAATGTAAGAGTTGGGGCATACAAATGTGTCCATAGTTAAGAACCCTTGCTGCTGTTGCCTGGCAGTGGTGCACGTTTTTAATCACAGAACTCAGGAGGCAGAGGCCAGCAGATCTCTGTGAGTTCGAGGCCAGCCTGGTCTACAAGAGCTAGTTCCAGGACAGTCAGACTACTGTCTCAAAAACATATAATCAATCAAACAAACAATATCAAAAGAAAAAAAAAAGAAACCAAGGACTGGAACACCCACCCAGCAAAGATGGGTGTAATGGCGTAAATGAATGCAGACAGATTGTAAAAATATATACAGCTTTAATGGAGAAATAGACTTACAGAACCACCGTTCCTGCGGAGACCAGGAAAGCAGAAGAGAAGAGCGAGGAGGGAAGACTCCGCTTTTTTAAAGAGAGAGACCACACCCCAGTGGGCTGGTATCTCAGCGGCTATTGGCTGGAGGAGTGGAAGGACCTCCCGCAACAGATGGGCATTAACATCTAGCATCGCCTTGACCATCCTGATGTTCATCCGTCACTGCTGGGAGTGCAAACTTGTAACTATAAAAGCCAGTGTGACGCTAGTATGAACATAGAAATCAGCTATGCCACTCTCAGATACACACCCAAAGGACTCTGCATCCTACCGCACGGACACTTGCTCATCCGTGTTCACTGCTGCTCTACTCACAATAGCCAAAAAATGGAAACAGCCTAGATGTCCATTAACAGATGAACAGATAATGAAAAGGTGGTAGATTTACACAATGGAATATTATTCAGCTGTTAAAATATGAAATTTGCAGGTAAATGAACAGAGCTAGAAGAAAATCATGTTGAGTGAGGTGACCCAGACCCAAAAAGTCAAACATGGTAAGTCGTCTTAGTTAGGGTTTACTGTTGTAATAAGAGCGGTGGGGCTGCGTCCCCGGCACCCAGCTGCCCCCACGGCTAGCTTTACCGGAAATAATTACACGGAAACTGTATTATTTTAAACACTGCTTGGCCCTCTAGCTCTAGCCCTTACTGGCTAATTCTGATATCCCGATCGACCCATCTCTAATAATCTGTGAGCACCGGTCTTACCGGGAAGATTCTAGCCTACATCCATCCTGGGTCGGATCTTCATTGCATGTGTCTGCCCAGGAGCCGGGAGCATGGCGTCTCTGCTCCAGAGAGCAGAGCTGTCAGTCTGAGCTCACTTCCTCTTCCTCCCAGCATTCTGTTCTGTTTACTCCTCCCACCTATGTTTTAACCTATGAGGGCCAGCCAAGCAGTTTCTTTATTTAACCAATGACCTTCCTCCATCAGTTTACTATTGCTATGAAGAGACACCATGACCACAGCAACTCTTATAAAGAAAACACTTAGCTGAGGGTGCATTGCTTACAGTTTCAGAGGTTCAGTTTGTTATGATCATGAAGGGAGCATGGCAGCGTGGTGCTGGAGCTGAGAGTGCCACATCTTCCAGGCAACAGGAAAAACCCACCACCACAGTGATGTACTTTCTCTAACGAGACCACACCTCCTAATAGTGCCACTCTCTTTGGGGCCACTTTCTTTCAAACCACCATATATGTGTTCTCTTATATGTGGGTGTTAGCTTTTAAGCCTTCAATAGGTATATCAGTATAACCACAGAGGTTAGGTATAGAGTAAGGAACGAGGTGGGGGGAGGATCTTCTGGGAAGAATCTCCCAAGGAAGGGGAAATAGAATATATAGTAAGAGAGACTTCGGGGAGACAGGAACAGGAAGATCAAACAGAGTAGGAGAGAATAAGGGAGAGACAGTAGGGAGGGACAAATGACACCAGGGGTCACCTGAGTAGTCACATAGAACCCAACTACAGCAGAAACTTCTTCAATATAAACATATATGAAAGAAATCCAAATGGAATCCCCAGATAATATGGAAGACAGAGCCCCAACAGACACCTTTGACTTCCAAATGAAACCTTTAGCACCAAGAGTGGGTTACATGTGACTGACTTGTTGGCCAAAGGAAATCCCCAAATAACTTGGGCTTTTGTTAAGTCTTTTAGTTGTTCTGCACAAATTGATGGTAAGGACCTATTCCAGCAGAACACAACATTTACATATCTCCCTGAACACAAAGAAACTGAACTGGATGTGAGGGCCCAGCTAGAGCATTCGCCCCTCCTGACCACCAACACAGTTACAAAACCATTGATCTGCATCTGGTGTAATAGTGGCACGAACACTATGGGAATAACCAACCCCTCTGATTGGATTTAAGGCCCAATCCATGAGCTGGAACCCAGGTCTAACCCTGTTCAGGCTGAGAACCTGAGACTGGAGAGGCCATAGCCTTAGGGGAAAACCAAATACTATGACAATGCTTAAGGAACACAGAATTAAGATGATTCCTGATGACATTATGTTGGAGCCATAGATCAGTGTCTTGCTCAGTCATCATCAGAGAAGCTACCCCTGTAACAGATGGGAACTACACAGAGCTTCACAAATAGACAACATACAGAGAGTGAGAGACGTTAGAACACCCCTCCTAAACCCTCTTCTCAGGGCTCAGGGAGCTATGCAGAAAAGGCAGAAAGATAGTAAGAGCCAGAGTTGATGGATGACTCAGGAAACAGTGTCTTCCAGACGCAGGACCCATGCACGTGTGAATTCATAGAGGCTGTGGCAGCATGCCCAGGGCCTGCACAGGTCCAAGGGCCCCAGTGCTGAGAGGGGGAGTGGACATAATCTTCCAATTGACAACTACTGGCAAGGAAAACTTGTTTTTGCCAAAGAAGTCTCACTGGGTGCATTAACCACGGTTAGTGGTAGGCCCCACGCGTGGCAGTAGATGGCCAACCCAAATGCTCAACGGTGTTTTATACACTTTTCGTCTTATGTTGCTTTGTTTGGGCATGTTTCATCTTACTGGTCTTTTTCCAATTTTGTGTTTTATGGGGTTTGTGTGTATGTGTGCTTTTTTGTTTGTTTGTTTGTTTGTGTTTTGTTTTTTAATTTGACCATTTGAGAGAGAGAAAGAAGGTGCAAAGAGTTGAATGGATGGAGAAGATCTGGAAGAAGATGGGGAACAGGAAACCATGATCAGAATATATACTATGAATTAAAACAAAAAAAAAAAAGGCTGGTTATGGTGGCGCACACCTTTAATCCCAGCACTCAGGAGGCAGAGGCAGGCGGATCTCTGTGAGTCTGAGGTCAGCCTGGTCTACATTGTGAGTTCCAGGACAGCCAGGGCTACATAGAGAGACCCTGTCTCAGAGAGAAAAAAAAATTGTGCTTTTTCTCTATGAAACTGTGGGCCACCTCCCTGATCCCTCCCTGTCTTCTTTGCACAATGCTGGGGATGGAATTCCAAGCATTTTGTTTGCTAGACAAGTTCAGGACCACAGAGTCTCAAACCCAGCCATGTTAGCTGGACTCACGTCTGTTTAAATCTCAGGCACAGTGAGAACGGATGAGAGTAAGACTTGCTTTTGTCTCCCCTGCACCTTTTTATCATTTCATTCACTTCTGTAGACCAGAAGCATCAAACTCAGAGTTCTGCCTGCCTCTGCTTCCAGAGTGCTGGGATTAAAGGCTACACCACCTCCACCCAGCCACCCAGCCATATTCTTCATGGTTTTATACAAACCTTAATGGTTACCTTTCACCCGCAATTTCCAGTTTGTTTCTCTTTATTTTTAGATTTATTTATTTTATTGTATGTCTGTGACTTCCATGTGTGCCTGGTGCCCTCAGGTCAGAAGATGGCCTTGGTTCCCTAGAGTTCTGGATAGTTGTGATCCACCATGTGGGTCCTCTAGAAGAACAATGAATGCTCTTAACTGTCCCCCCTCACACCCCTCCGCACCCCAGTACCCCCAGTTTGCAAGTGGAGAGCCAGATTACTCTAGGTGCTTAGGGTCTGAATCACTTTGCATGTGATTCAGCAGCAGCTGTTTTGAAGTGTCTAACCTTGGCCTGCAGCAGTGCTGGAGTAATTGCTTGCTCACTTAGCATGTGCCCTGTTAGGCCCTCAGTCCCTGACTACAATAAGGAAAGTGACTTAGTTTGAATGCGTCTTTGTAGTCTTTGTAGGACACAGATTCCTTCCACACGGAGGCCCTGGATTCACACTTTACACTAACTCCTAGCAGCCTGCGGGTCAGCTCAGGTGGGGGTGGGGCTGCTCGGCTGGTTGCACCACTGAATCATCTCAGGGACTGTTCATGTGACTGGAAGTTTAACCCTTGGCCTTTGAGCCTCCTTTCCCTTATCTTTGTTTTGTTGTTAGATTTTTGTTTTGTTCTGCATTTTTTTTTTTTTGAGACAAAATCTCACTATATAGCCCTGGCTGGCCTGGAACTTGCTATGTAAACCAGGCTAGCCTCAAACTCACAGACATCTGCTGGTCTTGCCCTCCCTAGTGTTGTGGAATAAAACATTTGTTTAACTAGTAAAGATGTGTTGCTGTTTGACCTTGTCTACCCAAGGCACCTGATTGGTCTAATAAAAAGCTGAATTGTCAGAGCTAGCAAGTAGAGGGATAGGCGGGGCTGGTGGGCAGACAGCCCGACGTGGTGGAAGTAGAAAGCAGGACAGACAGTATGCAGATGAGGTAAATGAGCCTCAGGCAGCACATAGATCGACCGAAAGGTTTTCAGGGACAGAGAACTGAATGTGGCCCAGCTGTGGGACAGCCCAGTGGTCAGCTCTCCACCTCTGGCCAGAAAACCCTTGCACTTGGCCTGAGCCTTCCTGGAGCCGAGGGCTAGGGGAAGTACAGACTTTGGCATGTAAAAAAATCACTACGTGGCTGTCACACTGTCCTTCCAGCTGCCTTCAGGGAGCCACAACATCCCAGCCACAGACCTACTTGCTGGAGACAGCCCAGGGGGGTTCTGAGATCAAATTCTCACATAAGTCCTTTGATCTATAAAGGCCCACCTACTAAATCTTATGAGACAAACCAGGCTCACTGACTGAACCATAACCTGACCACTACCCCGTCATGCCTGAAGCCCTCTGGTACTGTCAGAGTTGGTGAAAGACCTTAACTGGAGCCCAAGTCTTTTGACTTTTAATCCAAGCCCCTGCCTGTTCCAGGATGACTACCTCTGCCCCCCAGTGGGGTAACTGAATTTAGGGCCTCTGTTGTGGGAAATCTGATCACACTGTAAACTCCAAGCTTGCATTTGCATTAATTAAATAAAATCAACCTTGGGTCAGGAGGCTGAGTTATCAACTAGTTGACAGAAATCAATCAGAGAGTCATAGGGTATCTGTGAGACAATAGAGAGGTGCACAGGAAGTAGTAGGGAGGGACTTCTGCTTTGGTGAGCAGAAGGATGCTCCAGGCAGAGAGGTCAGTTCTTGGGGTGGGGGGTAAGTTTCCTACGGAGAAAAGCATTTGGAGGACCTGTGGAGGGAAACTAGGAAGCAAAATGAGCTGGAGGCAGAACCTGGAGCATCCATCAACAAGTCAGCTCCTGGGGCTTTCTTGAAGCACCACCCCCTCCTGTGGCCATTTCGGGAACTGCACCCAATGACCGATTCCCAAGTCTTTGCACCCAATGGATTTATCACTCAGGCAGTGTAAGCTGTTGTGGTACAGCCCTTGTGCAGACACAATCTCCTCCCACCTCCCTGCCCCACCCCCACAACCTGATATACATACATCCTTCCTGCAAACCCAGAGGCAGATGAACACAGGAGCAGTTAAATGTAGCATCCCAGCATTCTTTCTGGGCAACTTGTTCCCACTTCCTGGTCTCAGGTGTCATATTACCAGGATATGAGCCTGGGCTAGCCTCTCCTGAGCCAAAAAGGCCCTTCTGGCACCCACCAGCCTGGCCACAAGCCGCTCCCGCACAGAACCTGGTTCATGCTGGGGAAAGGGGAAAGTGGGGGAGTGAGAATGGACTAGGCTGTGCAATCTGCAGGAGGAGGAAGGGGACAGAAAGAGAGTGCAAGGACTCCAGTTGCCTTTTTTTTTTTTTTTTTTTGCGCCCTGACCCCATGCCCTTGAGTCCCGAGCCCTGAACTGTGGACAGACTGCCTCTTCCTCCAAGTAACAGCCCAGGACCTGGAATGGATGGTGTTTCTAGTGAAGTAGGGCAAGGAACAAAGGCCGCAGGGGCAGCCAGAGACAGTTTCTGGAGGTGGGAGAGCAGGAAGAGCCGGGGCCATCATGGAGGGTCTCACCTGACACTGGGCCAGCGCTCTCTTACAGTATTTCACGGCCTGGTCAAGTTGTCCGAGTCTGGCAGAAGCTGCCCCAAGGCCGTCACAGGCCTGCCCTGTCCCTTCATGTCCCCTAACGAGGAGAGGTTGAAAGATCGTTTCGTGTTCCCTGTTCCACAAACCCTTCCAGCATGTGCACCCTGTCTTTGCCGCCCCCCACCCCAGTTCCAAACTAACCCCCCCCCATTCTTACCAGTCTCTTGGGCAGCCGCAGGGCATGGAAATAGCTGTCCCAAGCAGCCCTGTGGTCTTCCAGTTGGCTCAGTGAGAATGCCAGGCCGCCAAGCTCCGACGAGCCTGAAACCAGAACGCATCCATTTGTATAGGGGCTTGGCTGCTGGGGCATCGATACCCTGCCCACAAGGGAGGTCCCAGGTTCCTAGAGCCCAGCCTCAGTACCGCTAGGTGACCCATGCTCAGTACCCCTAGGTGACCCACAAAGGCCTAGGCTGTCCGGGTTTAGCTTCTCTCACCTCAAGCATTTACCCCAAATGCCTCCCTGGCCAGTGGGAGCCAGTGAGTCAGTCAAGGTTAGATTGATATTTGAAACAAACCAAACAACAACAATAACAAAACCAACATAAAACCACTTCTTACTATGTAGGACCTGACTGGTGTAATTCACAGAAATCTGTCTCTACTTCTAGAGTGTTAGGGTTGAAGCAGCGATTTTCCACCATATCCTGCAGGAAAAAAAAAATCTATTTAGGGAGGCACCCAGGTCATATTTACAGTCCCACTTACGTGGTGTGGAGTCTGGGTTTAATTTTTTTATTTGTTTGTTTTTGTAGTGCCTGGAATGGAATCCAGGGCCCTGTGTATGCCAAGCAAGCACATTACCACCAGGCTACACCCCCGCTATCTATTGTTTTAATTTCTCCACATTTATTTTGTAGGTATGTGTGCACGGGTGGAAGTCTGAGAACAACTTCCGGGAATAGGTGCTCCCATAGGTGCTCCCTTCCTCAGCGTGGGCCTTGGGGAGTGCACACAGGCTGGCTGCTCCCCTTCCTCAGCATGGGCTCTGGGGAGTACATACAGGCTGCTGCTCCCCTTCCTCAGGGTGGGCCCTAGGGAGTGCACTCAGGCTGCTGCTTCCCTGCTGAGCCACCTCACCAGCCCCTCATAGTCCCATGTTTTGTTTTTTTAAGATTTACTTATTTATTATACATACAATGTTCTGTCTGCATGTGTGCTTGCAGGGCAGAAGAGGGCACCAGATCTCATTACAGATGGTTGTGAGCCACCATGTGGTTGCTGGGAATTGAACTTGGGACCTCTGGAAGAGCAGCCAGTGCTCTTAACCTCTGAGCCATCTCTCCAGCCCTCATAGTTCCATGTTTATGTGTGGAATCTGAAACTCAGAGATAGGAAGTCACACTCAGTGGAGGAGATTCAGGGCGGCACTTCTGGTCTCTTAACCTCCAGGCCGCTGAGCACACAACCTTCTGCTCTGTCCTTTCTCCCATCTCAGGTAGTCCCAGAAGGTCCCAAAGATCAATCTACCCAAGGCTACTGGGTGTGCAGTTGTACAGATATGGCACCCAATCCACTCCTCCAGGTTGCCAGTCCCCTCCAAACCCTAGGGCACCACCAGGCCCATTAGAAACTTACTCTTTTTCTTTGTCGACAGATACCATGTACCCCAAGCTGGCCTTGGGTCTGATGTGTAGCCAAGGACAATTTTAGGCTTCTGCCTCTCTTGCCTCCACCTACTGAGTGCCAATATTACAGACAGACACCACCACACTCGGTGTATGGAGTTCTGGGAATCAGTTCAGGGCTTTGTGCATGCCAGGCAAGCGCTCCGGCTGTACGTATTCCCAGTCCTGAACCCTCTTCTGAACCCTTTAGTCTTGGCCCCACTCTCCGGTCCTAGAAACCCACCATACAGTTTGGCCGCCTTCTGGTGAAACTCCTTGCCTTCTTTTTTTTTTAATATTTATTTATTTATTATGTATACAATATTCTGTGTGTGTGTGTCCGCAGGCCAGAAGAGGGCACTAAATCTCATTACAGATGGTTGTGAGCCACCATGTGGTTGCTGGGAATTGAACTCATGACCTTTGGAAGAGCAGGCAATGCTCTTAACCACTGAGCCATCTCTCCAGCCCCTCCTTGCCTTCTTGATAGTGGCCAGGACATGGCAGGTCACTCCAAGGTTCTGAAACACTGTTGCCTGGTCTGCTGGCTGTTGACACCAGGGTAGGGCCTGCAGGAAGGCCTCTACTGCCAGAGGAAACAGTTGAAGTTGGAAGTGAGCCATGCCTAGGTCATTGTAGAGCAGCCCTGGAAAGCACAGTCACTGACAGTCAAATGAGCCATGACGAAGGCTGCAGAGGTTCAGCTCCTGACCTGCTCCTCCAGCCTCTGGTCCCCTCCCAGCACTCAGGGCACCTCCTCAGACCCCACACCTTCCTTACTAAGGCTCACCTAGCAGGCCCTGAGCAGTGCTCTGGTCAGCATCAGCTCACATTGCTCCTCCATCAGTGCTCTGGTCAGCATCAGCTCACAGCCTCCCCCATCAGTGCTCTGGTCAGCATCAGCTCACAGCCTCCTCCATCAGTGCTCTGGTCAGCATCAGCTCACAGTGCTCCCCCATCAGTGCTCTGGTCAGCATCAGCTCACAGTGCTCACCCATCAGTGTTCTGGTCAGCATCAGCTCACAGCCTCCTCCATCAGTGCTCTGGTCAGCATCAGCATCAGCTCACAGTGTTCCTCCATCAGTGCTCGGGTCAGCATTAGCATCAGCTCACAGTGCTCCTCCATCAGTGCTCTGGTCAGCATCAGCTCACAGTGCTCCCCCGTCAGTGCTCTGGTCAGCATCAGCTCACAGTGCTCACCCATCAGTGTTCTGGTCAGCATCAGCTCACAGCCTCCTCCATCAGTGCTCTGGTCAGCATCAGCATCAGCTCACAGTGCTCCCCCATCAGTGCTCTGGTCAGCATTAGCTCACAGTGCTCCCCCATCAGTGCTCTGGTCAGCATCAGCATCAGCTCACAGTGTTCCCCCATCAGTGCTCTGGTCAGCATCAGCATTAGCTCACAGTGCTCCTCCATCAGTGCTCTGGTCAGCATCAGCATCAGCTCACAGTGCTCCTCCATCAGTGCTCTGGTCAGCATCAGCATCAGCTCACAGTGCTCCTCCATCAGTGCTCTGGTCAGCATCAGCATCAGCTCACAGTGCTCCTCCAGAGCGTGCAGCACCTGCAGCGCTTCACTCAACCTACGTTGCCCACTGCTCAGCATGCATCTTACGGCAGCCACCTGAGCCAGGGCTGCATCCCAGTGCTGGCCTGCATGAGCATAGGCCCGGCTTGTTTCCTGTAAATTGCAGGCTGCTTGTTTAGGCCATCCCAGGGCCTGACAGCACGCTCCCATTTTTGCCTGTGTTTCCCCATGGTCACCCTGGGTCTGGTAATTGCCCAGAGCCCTATGGTACCAGTCCAAAGCTTGGGTCAGTTCACCAAGCGCCGATAAGCCAAAGCCACATTGAAGCACTGGTCAGCACGACACCAGCCTTTGGACTTCTCTTCAGGATGGGCTCTCAGAAGTAGCTCAAGTCCTATGACCGGAGGCAGCACTCAGATTGAAGGCGCAGGCTTGAAGAACAGAGCTGTCTCTGGAAGATGGGACCTTGGAGGCTAGCAGGAAGGTCTTGTGGAAGCTGCCCAAGGCCTCCTGAACCTGACCAGCCTGCAGAGCCATGAGGCCAGCCCTGGTGAGGGTCTGGACATTGGTTTCTTGCTGCAGCCACTTTCTTTTCTCCTTTTTCTTCCCACAGTTTGACGATTTGGGCACAGGCTCAAGCTTTGGGTGGCTGTCCTTGGGAACATGGGTTCCCTAGGGTTGACACCAGAGAACAGAGGGGTCAGCGTGTCAACCTCTGCTTCCCCTCTACCCCTCCAGTAGGATCCCTTAAAGGAAATTTGGGTCTACCTCTGACCTCAGGGGACTAAGAAGTTCCCCAGACTCTTACCTTGCCTCCTGTGTCACACTGGGCAGCATTCTGTCTCCCATTTTTCACAGAACTCTTCCTCTGTCTTTTGTCAGAGCTTCAGTGCTCAGACCCCTTCCGTGAATTAATCCCCCTTGCTACACAAACCAAACACCAAACAAACAAAGGTCCCGGCAAACTTCTGTAATTTCATAGGCCTTTTCTCCCCAGTCTTCCACCAACCCCGACCCCCAGAATTCAGGACAAGCACTCTGCCGCTGAGCTGCACCACTGGCCCCATTTATCACATAGGGTTAGCAAAGGTGACTCTCTTGTATTCTTCTAGCCTGGGAACACATGGAACAACTAGATTTCAACGAAAGTTTACTAAAGGGGGCTGGAGCAATGGCCCAGCAGTGAAAAGCACTTGCTGCTCTAGCAGAGGGCTCGAGTTTGGTTCTCAGCACCCACATGATGACTAACAACTGCTTATAGGAACAAAACAAAGACACAATGAGACAAAGAGTTGGTTCTTCGAGAAAATCAACAAAATAAACCTTTATCCAAACTAACCAAAAGGCAGAGAGAGAATATTCAAATTAACAAAATCATAAATGAAAAGGGGGACATAACAACAGACATGGAGGAAAAACAGAGAATCACCAGGTCATAGTTTGAAAACCTGTACTCCACAAAATTGGAAAACTTAAAGGAAATGGACAACTTTCTAGATAAATATCACTTACCAAAATTAAATCAAGACCAGATAAACAAATTAAACAGACCTATAACTGCTGAAGAAATAGAAACAGGGGGGCTGGAGAGATGGCTCAGAGGTTAAGAGCACTGACTGCTCTTCCAGAGGTCCCGAGTTCAATTTTCAGCAACCACACGGTGGCTCACAACCATCTGTACTGAGATCTGGCGCCCTCCTCTGGCGTTCGGGCATACATGGAGGCAGAATGTTGTATACATAATAAATAAATCTTTTTTTTAAAAAAAGAGAAAGAAATAGAAACAGTCATCAAAAGTCTCCCAACCAAAAAAAAGCCCAGGACCAGATGGTTTCAGCTCAGAATTCTACAAGACTTTCAAAGAAGAACTAATACCAATACTCCTCAAATTATTCCACACAATAGAAACAGAAGGAACATTGCCAAACTCTTTTTATGAGGCTACAATTATCCTGATATCCAAACCACAGAAAGACATTACTAAGAAAGAGAATTACAGACCAATATCATTCATAAAAATTGATGCAAAAGGGCTGGAGAGATGGCTCAGCGGTTAAGAGCATTGCCTGCTCTTCCAAAGGTTCTGAGTTCAATTCCCAGCAACCACATGGTGGCTCACAACCATCTGTAATGAGGTCTGGTGCCCTCTTCTGGCCTGCAGGCATACACACAGACAGAACATTGTATACATAATAAATAAATAAATATATAAATAAATAAATAAATAAATAAATAAATAAATATTGATGCAAAAATACTCAATAAAATACTGGCAAATCAAATCCAAAAACACATGAGAACCATCACCATGATCAAGTTGGCTTCATCCCACAGATGCAGGGATGGTTCAACATACAAAAATCTGTCAATGTAATCCACCGTATAAACAAGCTGAAAAATAAAAACCACATGATCATCTCATTAGATGCCAAAAAAGCATTTGACAAAATACAACATCCCTTCATGATAAAGGTCTTGAAGAGAGCAGTGATACAAGGAACATACCTAAACATAATGAAGGCAATATACAGCAACCAACAGCCAGCATCAAACTAAATGGAGAGAAACTCCCAGCAATTCCACTGAAATCAGGAACAAGACAAGGTTGTCCACTCTCCATATCTATTCAATATAGTTTTTGAGGTTCTACATAGAGCAATAAGACACCAAAAGGATATCAAAGGGATACAAATTGGAAAAGAAGTCAAACTCTCACTGTTTGCTGATGGTATGATAGTTTACATAAGTGATCCTAAAAATTCTACCAAGGAACTTCTACAACTCATAAACACTTTCAACAATGTAGCAGGGCACAACATTAACTCAAAAAAATCAGTAGCCCTGCTGTACACAGATAATAAAAGGGCTGAGGAAGAAATCAGAGAAAGAACACCCTTCACAATAGACACAAATAGCATAAAATATCTTGGAGTAACTTTAACCAAACAAGGGTTTGATGAAAAGAACTTTAAATCTTTGAAGAAAGAAATTGAAGAAGACACCAGAAAGTGGAAAGACCTCCCATGCTCTTGGGTAGGCAGAATTAATATAGTAAAAATGGCAATCTTACCTAAAGCAATCTACAGATTCAACGCAATGCCCATCAAAACCCCAGCAAAATTCTTCACAGACCTTGAAAGAACGGTACTCAAGTTCATTTTGAAAAGCAAAAAACCAAGGATAGCCAAAACAATCCTGGGCAATAAAAGAACTTCTGGAGGCATTACAATCCCTGACTTCACACTCTACTACAGAGCTACAGTACTGAAAACAGCCTGGTATTGGCATAAGAACAGACAGGAGGACCAATGGAACTGAGTAGAAGACTCGGATATTAATCCACACCCCTTTAAACACCTGATTTTTGACAAAAAAATATCAAATGGAAAATTTTTTTAGCAAATGATGCTGTCATAACTGGATATCAACATGTAGAAAAATGAAAATAGACGCATATCTATCACCATGCACAAAACTCAAGTCCAAATGGATCAAAGAACTAACATAAAGCCAGCCACACTGAACCTCATAGAAGAGAAAGTGGGAAGTACACTTGAACACATTGACACAGGAGACCACTTCCTAAATAGAACCCCAGCAGCACAGACACTGAGAGAAACAATTAATAAATGGGACCTCCTGAAACTGAAAAGCTTCTGTAAAGCAAAGGACATGGACAACAAGACAAAACAACAGCCCACAGAATGGGAAAAAATCTTCACTAACCCCACATCAGAGTCTTATCTCCAAAATATACAAAGAACTCAAGAAATTGGACACCAAAAGATCACATAATCCAATAAAAAAAATGGAGTACAGACCTAAACAGAGAACTCTCAACAGAGGATTCTAAAATGGCTGAAAGACACTTAAGGAAATGTTCAACATCCTTAGTCATCAGAGAAATGCAAATCAAAACAACTCTGAGATTCCATCTTACACCTGTAAGAATGGCCAAGATCAAAAACACGGATGACAACTTACGCTGGAGAGGTTGTGGGGAAAAGGGAACACTTCTGCATTGCTGGTGGGAATGCAAGCTGGTACAACCCCTTTGGATGTCAGTGTGGCGATTTCTCAGACAAGTAAGAAACAACCTTCCTCAAGACCCACTAATACCACTTTTGGGTATATATCCAAAGGATGCTCAATCATGCTACAAGGACATGTGCTCAACTATGTTCATAGCAGCTTTGTTTGTCATAGCCAGAACCTGGAAACAACCTAAATGCCCCTCCACCGAAGAATGGATAAGGAAAATGTGGTACATTTACACAATGGAGTACTACACAGCAGAAAAAAATAATAACAGCTTGAATTTTGCAGGAAAATGGATGGAGCTAGAAAACATTATTTTGAGTGAGGTAACTCAGACACAGAAAGACAATTATTAAATGTAGTCACTCATAGGTGGTTTTTAAACATAAAGCAAAGAAAGCCAGCCTACAAACCACAATCCCAGAGAACTTAGACAACAATGCGGAGACTAAGAGAGACTTACATAGATCTAATCTACATGGGAAGTAGAAAGTAGAAAAAGACAAGATCTCTTGAGTAAATTGGGAGGTCCATGGGGACCTTGGGGAGGGGGTGTTGAAGAGGGGAGGGGTGAGCCAGGAAGGGGAGCAGAGAAAAATATAGAGCTCAATAAATATCATGGGAAAAAAAAGTTAATAAAAAATGTATCACAATAAAAAAAAATAAAGTCAACAGTAGACAAGGGGTCTCCCTACAGTAAAGAAACATCTCACAACTAAGGAAACAATCAGCTCTGGGAAGCTCACAGAATTGGCAAGAATCTTTCCAGCTAAGACATAGGGCTAATATCCATAATATACAAAGAACTCAAAAAACAAGAGTCAAAAAAACCAAATGACCCTTTCAAGAAATGGACCTGGAACTTGAATAGAGAGTTCTAAAAAGAAAAAAAAAAATAATTGGCTAGGAAATATTCCCAAAATTGTTCTTTCTCCCTAGTAATCAAGGAAATGCAAATCAAATCAACTTTGAGATTTAATCTTACCCCAGTCACAATGGCTAATATCAACTGTGGGGGCTAGCCATGAAAAGCTAAGTACTGACAGGTCAGCCAGAGGAAGTTCTTTATGTCCAACCATTATCACCTGCCAGAGTAGAACTCAGCCCTCATAAGTTTAATAAGAGGCCAGAGTCTCAGTAGTTTACCCTGAAACAGGGTTGCAGGAAGAACCATAAACTGAGATAACCAGACCACTACACAGGAGCAGATCTTTCAAAGGAAATGCCTGACATTCCAACTGCTGTAGATAGGATCACCTGCCAGCACACCTCACCAGGACACCCCTAGACAAATGTCGGCCCATCAGGGGTCCTGAACCTCAGAGACCTCTCACCCCCACCTTTACTACTATAAAAACCCAACTCTAACTGAGCTCGGGGCTCTCCAGTTATTCCAATACGTTGCACATGCGGAGAGACCGAGTTTGCAAACTTGATTAAAATAAAGGCTCTTTGCTTTTGCATATGGGGCTCGGTTTCCTTGTGGCTTTTGTGGGGACCCACGGATTTGGGCATAACATCAACAACACAACCGACAAACCAGTGCTGGAGAGGGTGAGGGAAAAGGGAATTCTCATTCACTGTTGGGATTGGAAACTGGTCACTCTGGAAATCAGCATGGGAGTTCTCAAAAAGCTAAAATTAAGTTTACTGTATGACTGGGCCATACAACTCCTTGGCATGTGCCCACACGACTCGACATCACACTCCACAGCCATGTATACTGCTCTGTTTACAATAGCTGGGAAATGGGACAACCTCACAATAACAATGTGGTACACACACACTGTGGAACACACACCACTACTCAG